TGATAATTAAAGAAAAATCAACAGATGCGTATTCTGCACTCGGGGCCTTTGCTGCACAACGGCTATCAGTATTTCTATTTGCTAAACCTTCTCTAATTTTTTTATAAGAGAAATAAAGATCTTTGTCACAAATATGATTTTCTATCAACAATGCAATGCAATCCAATGCAGCTTGCATTTCAACACAATATGGAAGTAGCCTATGTAAAAAAAATTCTAAACTGATTTATTTTTCTTTTAAATGAAGAAAAAGCTGTGCTTAGTCTCAGACCGGTCCGTATTTGTAAAATACTTGAAAAAAGTCAAAATCTGTGAATATCTTGCCAACTTTCAATACGGATCGACTTTTTGGAAAATCGAAATAATGAGGTAAGATATGCGCAGGCTCCTCCATAGTTCAGTAAAGTTATTCGAGATTCAGACTGACGGACCGGTCTGCGAGCTGGACGCATTGCTCTTAATGTGCCGGTAATGATGGTAAATGATGGTTGTAGCTGGTTGTCATCTACGCTCCACTACGCTTACCGAAGGGGGGCGTTTGTTTTTTGACAACATTTTATCTCATCATTTCGACTTTATCCCCTCACATTAGTGCGGAAATGGGCTTCTATAGTTGTGTGAATGCATCACTCCAGCCAATCCAAAGACAGGGTTTGTAACTGTATCAGATGTAGAGACCATGGTGACTGGCTCCGCCCCCTTACTGTTAAAAAGAAAAACAGCGAGCGCATAGAAAACACCTTCGAGCGCGAGCAGAGACTAACCGAGGAAGTTCACGCTCTGCGAGCGAGCAAATATAATAAAAAAATAAAATAAAAAAAAGGCAGATTATTAACTTTTCTAAATCGAGACCGAATCGTTCTAAAGAGAATCGAGAGAAATCGAAAAATCGCCACCCCTACTAAACTAGCTTGTCAAAGATATAGCTGGTAGTTTTGTACATGACTGCTTTTTTTCGCACTACCTTTTTAATGAAGGTCTTTGGTTGCTGCGTATTCTGCACTCGGGGCCTTTGCTGCACAACGGCTATGAGTATTTATATTTGCGCGTCTCTCTCCCATTGCTCCTTTCCCTTTCATTCTCTTGGACACAAAAACTCAAAGCTCGCTCAATTTGCAGCAAGCAAAAAGAGAAGCCATGAAAAGCAGAGAAACAGAAAAACAGCACAAAACGTTTGGTTGTGAACAGAAGATCCGATCTACAGTAATTGCTTGTAAAGCATGACATTTGCATTTTAAATACACCTATGATAAACAGCAGGCCAAAAGGAAGCATGTATAGACATTATGCTTCAATTCCATTACGTCCTTCACAAAGGACATTTGATAGCATAGCCGATAGTGATGCACGGCAAAACACACGCACATGTATGGTGCATTCATATCTGCAGGTGATGAATGAGGGGCCCGTTGCTCAAAAGGTCACCCAAGATAAGATCCGATCATCTCTGCTGGCTGCGGACGGTCTGACTGGCTACGAGCCAGAAAACTGCAAAACGATGTATGTAATATTCAGACTGAAATAAAAGAACGTCACGACTCCCTTCATCGTCATAAACAGACTTCTGTGGTAACTTAATACATTTTGGAAGAATTTGATACAAATACTAGAGACATAAGTCCCCGGGGAAAGATATTCATATCATAATTATTTTTTTAAACATTACGGAGGTCACACCCTTTCCGGTTGGAATATTAGAGGGATTTTTCATACTCAGGCTGCATAGTGGGTGCTACACATGTATTATTGATGGCAGCAGTTCAAAAGCAGTTTGTTTGCTGAGAAGTGGCGAGATTTATAGTGAACCCAATAGTTTCCGCTAGTCTCACAATGAAAGTACTGTCTAGATTACAAAAACAGAAGTTTTTTGTTCTTCATCTCCCCAGCAGAGGAAAACAATCAAAATGGTTATAATTTATTTTAAGCAGCAAATGTCTTAAGGCTGTTTTTTCTTTTCTTTTGGCTCTAAGTCAAGGTATGAGCAACAAGACAGCAGCAATGTATTTAGCGCGGATTCCTGTCACTCAGGAAAGAAAAGAAAACAATAATATAATTATCTAAATCTGGCAGCACGTCGATGGCCTTAAACGTGTCCTCATGTCTCACCTCAACAGACACGTGGAAAAAAAAAAGAGGCACAAAGCAAGTGGATCAGCACCTAATCAAAGACTGCCATTCTTCTAATAAAAAAAAAGCCCGGTGGAGGGTCAAAGCTTCTTTATCAGGCGACAGCAGGCAAAGATATGACTGCAGAAGGGCTTTGTGTCACAGCGGAGCCGTGCCGGCTGCGTAATGTGACACCATTGTCTCCCTGTGCTTACAAATACAGAACAAATAGTTTGAGAAGTGTAAAAAGTACAAAAGAGAAGAAGTCCTTCTGCGTGCCTCACTTGACCTCATAGTAAACATTTCAGTCCGTATAGTGAAGAATAAAAGATGCAGTAGCCATGAAAGACCGTTCAACAAGTCTTAAAAAGGCAGACCATCCATCACTTGAGCAGAAACCTGAACAAATCACACGCAACTTCCAAATAGAGAAAAGAAGAACCTGCTGAGGGAGGCTGAAAAACAAGGTCATTTAAGGAGGTTTATTTTCCTGCCTAATTGAAAACCCACTCCACGCAAACACAGTTGCATTCAGGAACAGATGACGTACGTGGCTGTGCTCCTGCACGGAAAAACTATGAATATTCATCAACAAAAAAATAGAGATTTGGAATGTGGCCATATGGTTTGGAATCAGCAGCTGTATATGCATTGCACACAACTCTCTCTCTCTCCTCCAGCTCCCCGTGTGCTGCTGCTGCTGTCAGACGAGGAGCAGCTCGGGGTTCTGCGTGGAACACCCACACCGCGCACACGCGCGCCCCTACTGTCACGGGAACACCTTCCCTCCAGTTCAGTCGATTGTTTGGTTCGGTTTGAGGACAAACGCGAGGGCTCCTAAACAAACGTTTGACTCTGCCGTCGTTCTCAAAGTTGCTGAAAGGTGCCACCTTGGTGGCGGCAGAGTTGCGACGCTCAGAAATAAAGTATTGCGGGTTTTTTTTTCATAAGATCCTTGTTTTTTTTTTTGCCTGCTTCATGGAAATCCTTTGGACTGCATGCAAACGCGAATCCAATACAGGCGCTCGTGCGCATTACCTGCACACACTAGTACACGCGCACAACACCTTGCCCATCTCTGCCGGCGCACTTAATCCACGTTTGGGATCACATTAAGTTTGTCTCTTGTTTTCCTTTAACTCCCACGTGCGCTCTCTAGAGGAGCGCAGAGCGCCGCTGCGGATCGCGCGGCTGGATTCACCCTTTCTGCGGATTTCATGTGGGAATGTATGGAAACACAATGTAGTCCTACAGGGGTTCGTTCGTCCATTTGTTCCGATAGAATCCAATATGCTGTTGTAAACACCCGCTCTGATAACAACATTATCGAAATACTGAAAATCTATTCCGCCCAAAATACGCTGACATTTTAAAACCGAATTGTTGGGTGAATAAACAGCCTTTTCTTTTGTCAACGTCGTCGTCGGAGGTGATTTGCAGCATGGCAGATAATACGCTGGTTTTATGGAACAGAACGAGAGAGGAATGATTAATTTGTCATTCGTTGTCACACATAGAAATATGATGTGCGTAAAATTGAGAGGACACGCGCATCCCGCCTAGTCCCCCTCATCCAGCCTTTTAATTCGTTCATTCTCTTCCCTTTCAGGCTCCACTGGACACGGATCTTATGCACCATATGTTGCAGAAGTGGGTCCGTGCTTTACGCGTTCGCTCCCAATCAGATCACATTCCCAGTGCAATGCACAATATGTTTCGTTCCGTTTGGCTTTTCACTTTAAACGATCGGTCTCCCTGTAAAGAGGTTTAAACAGGACCAGGTGCAATGGGAAAGAACTATTAAATCAAATGTGACACCGGATCAAATGAGTGGAATGATCTCACATTCCAAACACTTGCTCGAGTAATTCCACGACTTTTAAGACTGTGGCAGCAAATGACCCCCTGATTGTGTGCGATTTGGTTGCGTGTGTTTTCACGTTGTTTACGTGTTTTCTTCCATCTCTTTCACACACACACGTACACACACACGCGCGTAGAGCGCACCTACGTTCCCCTGCGCGTAAAGAGCGCCGCTGCACTGTACAGACGGTACTGCCAGTGTGGAAGTCATGTTGTCAAACACTGGTCCACTGTGTCCCCGAAAGGACTCACTATAAAATCAGGGAATATTGTCATTCCATGTCAATCCGCTTCGCTTTGATCTCGTTTCACAGGATGCATATGGATGTCCACCGCTGTGGTCAGGCCCAGGTGAGAGAGATCAGCACGAAAACACCCCCCTTCTTCCAAACCAGTCTCCGCAGGACATTTCATTTTAATTAGTTGATCGTGAAAAGGAATGGATACAGAACCCTAAACTATCACTGCCGTTTATGGGGGAGGATGAACTTTTGAAACACAGTCAAGCGTCAGGCAGCCCGTTTATCCACAGGAGGGAAGACAAGAGCACAGTAGCCTTGTTGTAAAGAAGGGCTGACACTCCTCCGCGTTTGTCCACGCTGTTGTCCAAAAGGACACGTGCGATGGACAACACACGCTCTACGTTTCCTCTACAAATTCAACAGTGGCGCTCTGTGCACGAAGAAGACAGAGAAAGCCACTGCATTGATGCGCCCAGCGTATCGCGACAGATACGTCCCGCTACACACCGGCCATCTGTTCCGATCCAGCACCTGCACCCGCACGCGCTCCCTCCGCGCGTCAGCCCGTTGTTAACAATTATCATGCTGACATTATGGTGCTGACTAATAGTTGAAATAACTGTACAGCAGCGTGTAGAGCAATACGCCGCGTTACATACATGAAAACCACAACAGTTCACGGGCAAAAGTATGCTCCACGCAGCGCGGCAAGTTTACGACAAGCACCGCGCTCCGCGCGCACGAAGCCGCGCGCCGAGCCGAGCAGCGCGCAGCTGGCGTCCCACTCACCTGATTGCGAAGAGCTCGAGCCCAACAAGAGGCAGAAAGTCAGGAGAAGGCCGAAGCAACACGGGGCAGTCGTTGGTTTCATTGTTGTGCTTGGCAAGTATCTCCTTTTAAATTCACATGTCCAGCCGCGTATCCCTGTTTTCTTCTTCTCTCTGTCAGAAAGGATGACGATTCGTTCGAAGCCTCCTCAGCTCGTGAGTTTGGGGACTTTAGTCGCTCTTGACCTAAGTTTACAATTGGTCCGACAGTCTTCCGCCTCACCTCCCCGGTGCCCGTGGGCTTAATTGGTTTCTGACGCGGGTGCAGAAATGCTCGAAGGTGAAGTTTCCCTCGCGCGCGCGCGTTGTGACGCTTGTCTAAACAGTATAAAGCACTACTCATGCCATTACTCCTCGACTTGGATACAGTATGCAGCTGTAGACTCGTGTTCCTCGGACACACCCCCTCCGAGCCCCTGAGCTCCGCCCACTGGCTCTGTGATTGGCACAGGTGCCCGACAGTCACCCGAAAACCCCGCCAGTCACGACTCCTTACGCGCCGTCATTGGTCGATTTGAGATGCCAAAACCCCGTGAATTTGTGCGTCGGATCCGTTGCACCTGTCACACGGAACACAGTGGAGATGAGTGGTGCCAGAAGGATATATATGTATATATGGGTGTAATTGGACTGCATATCACTTATAGTTAGCTTTTGAAGATGGTATCCATATTGGATAAAATATAGTCTCATATTGGAGGTGTTGATTTACTACTGAGCTGAATTTGTGGCACTGTGCAATGGGAGGGCAGGTTGAGTGACGCATTCGGTTCATAGTGAACTCAATTGTGCGGTTGATCCTGTGATTTTAAATATGTGTTTCTCGTATGTACTTTTGTCATGTCTTCAGCTTAGGCAAACATACCCATTGTTTCTCAGTTATCAGAGTTCATTACTGTTGGAGGCAATATCTCACTACACACAGGCTAATAATTTCCCCCAGGGGTGGCTCAGTGTACACCACACAGATAGAAGTCAAATAGAACGTTTAGATAGTGGCGTTATTGTGCTCGCTGGGCTATTTGTAATAGTTTGAAGGTGGTGACTTTGCGGTGACAATTATTGGAAGCTATACGATAACGGGTGGATATGAAAAATGTGACTAAGGTTATTATTTTTGCAACCAGCTGCTGCCTGCGTTCACACTTTAAGAGAAGGGTGAAGACCTCCTGGGGTTTTAATATGCCACCACATCTGGACAGAAATTTTGCATTCTGCCTGTGCCCCCCCCCCCCCTCGGCCCTCCACCCTCAGTCCTATTTGCATACCCAGGCACACAAAAACACACAAACACAAAGGCTTTAAATACATTTTATTTTTTATTTTTAAAATTGAATAGATCAAATGTAATTGATCATATGATACGTCTACTTAATAATTAGGACTTTAAAAGAACTGCGTGATTATGTTTTAAAAATGTGAGGTTGACTCCCTCCTGAAACGGGTTGTTACATTATAATATAATTCCATTATACCTGAAAAATAATCTACTCTCATCCATAAACATCCTCATATTGTTATTATTATCTTATGCAAGCCAGCTCACTACTCCCCGAGAATCATTCAAGGCTTTATTTGCTTCCAATAGAGAGGCGTACACCTCTCACCACTCAAAATGCCATGCCTGCTGCTTTTTTTTCTGATCCCGGAACAGCACCCTGAACTTTTCTAAGCTAAGTGTTCCCAACACTTTGAGAAAATGATATGCAGACAGTTTTCACTTTGAAGAAAGTCAAAAAGGCTCTGTTGTTTTCAGCTTGGTTGCAGAATGAATAGTGCACTGAACTGTGAGGGGGCACTTCTTCAACCTCCGCTGCAGTGTTGACCCTTCACCAGTGGGGGGCAGTCCATTTCTCACCTTATAGGTCATAGAATCAGCAGAACGACACAGAGGGGGGTGGGCGATCCAAGCTGCCACCAACTAGTTTCCGGGCTCTCTGTGTGACATTGGCTTCCTATCACACAGAAGCTTTATCAAATATTCCTCAGCAGAATTGAGCTTTTAATATCACTGACACCACAAATTTATTAAGAAATATTGAAAAATGAGATGTGGCAGCACCGTACGCGGGGAGGCTTCAATCCGCATGTACCCCAAATGGCTGTCGTTTATCATTTTTAATACTAGAAATGCAATTTAGCAATGTTGTGTATTTTCATTATACATTACACTTTAAGAGGCACCTTCTGACAGCATAACCCCAAAAGCTGTCAATTAGGTAATTTATTCCAAGGGATTATGGGACGGAATGAGACGAGGTTTCATGTGTTCTTCTAGGCGTTCCCCAGTGCCTGCTGTACAGCTAATCTAATACATAACCCCCTGATTTGTTTAATGGATGAGACTTTGCTGCTGCAAGAGGCACGCCAATAAAAGCCGGGGCCCTCCAGAGGCTATTGTGCCTCATAATGATGCCAGACACACAATGTGAGAGTTATGAAGCAATTCTTTATCATGCGGCACATTGTTTTGCTCCGTTGGTGCCGTGCAAGTAAAGGCAATCTCCCCCTGCAGGATAGCACTTCTCCCCCACACTTAGATAAACCTTCAGTATGATAAACTGTCCCAGCCACATGTTGCAGAGATGAAGGAAGTTTAAGATTGAAATACAAGTCCTGCACGGCTGATTTGCTAGTTAGTCACAGGCATCTTCGACTGTTTGTTAAACCCTTTTCTCCGTTTCCTTGGACATCCTTTTATTCCGTTTTTGTTTAATGTCTCAAGTCCACGTTTTGTATAGTTGCTGACTTTAAATATATCAGAGGTATCTTACGTGGCTGTGGAGAATGACAGGATTGATCGCTGACCACTGTGAATACAAATGACTGGAATAAACAAAAGCCAACACATATTAATAGACTGCCTCTTTTTTTTTAGCAAACACTTCATATGCATTTAGACATATATGCAGATAGCACCACAAATCTTTTTGCATGTCTCCGAGTGCTCCTATCTTACATAATATATATATATATATATATCCCAAAGTACACACACAACATTTTCTATCAAATTAAAGAAGGATTACTGAGGGATTGGTGCAAATTTAAGAGCAATGGCCTCTATCAGTGTAAATCCCAGTTTTAAGACCGGTGAACCAGTTTTTCAGCAAAGCGAAGAAACAACAACTCGAATGGCTCTGAAGACTAATTTGGGTGTGTTTGAGAGTTTACAGCGGTGCAGTAGTTCAGCTGGGTATAAATCTCGCCAAAGTGCTTTTTCCCCCTGTGTAATCTATTCACAAAGTGTCCCTCCTAAGACAGACGAAGCAACGGGAATCATTTCGCTTTGCAGGAGTATTGTTCCTTTTGACACATTTAAATCCATGGGAACAGAGGCTTTTCTCTGAGTGTGCACTTCCAGCCTTTTTCCCCATCCCCTTTTTCCTCTCATCAAACTCATATGGTGGCTAAAGAGTCAACTGAAGCTCTGACTGGCTCCGCAAGAGCCTGACTCAGTGAGCAATAAGTAGCATTAGCGCATTACACACACATGATTACGTGGCCATTTCCTCAGTGAATGAGTCTCATCAGAAGTCACTGAAGAAGCCACTGGGTGTGTAATTGTTTCCCATTAGGGGAACCGTTGACTACCATTGAGTTGCATCTCACTGCAGAGTTTGCTGACAAATGCTCGCTGTCCGCTGACTTGGAGCGGACTAATTCTGCTGTGGGTTGTGACGGAATTGCTCAAAATCCCAAAACCACCAGATCAGTTTTATGGTGATGCATCATATTTTTCTGTTGCTTTCTTTTTTTTTAAGCGGGAAGGCGACTGCAGGGCAAGAGTTCATATTTGTTGATTCACTGAGGATGGATCAACATTATTATCAGTCATTTCGATGCCTACAGCACAAATGTACAGTAGCTGATATGCAGCCGGTGCTCTTAACACGGTAGTGTGTGTCTGCATGACTGTTGGTATAATCAGTCACGCAGACACATTTTACGTTCTTCTTTTGCTTTTGGAAGATTTAAAGTCAAAGACTAAAAGTATTGTCTTTTTAATGAGCATTCATGATTTGACAATGTCATCCCTATTAGGTTGTAGTCTCTCACAGTGTTAACAGATCATCTTCAGCATTAGGTACACACAACCTCTCTCCCCCTTTCTCTCTCTCTGTCTCTCTCCCTCTGAAGCCTGCACTGCAGTGATGAATAATCGTCGGCATGCTCCGTTGTGAAGGTGTTGTAAATTGGATAGCTTACATTGCAAATTACAGGCAGGTCAAAAGTTCAAATGAGGCCAACTGTGTCAAGTGAGACACGAGGGTAAAGCAGAGAAAGAACTTTTCTAAAGTTATTCATGGCTCCTAGAATGGGCTTTTCTACTGCACCATTGAGTTGATGGGGACGAGAGGTGACCTGCAGAGGGAGAACGGAGTTGTCTTTACACTGCTGCCATCTACAGGCTGGAGATGGAAGTGTCGTCATCACAGCCGGGACGCGGCTCTCTATGAATTTGGAGGAAAAACCGAAGAAAACACACATACACACAGATCGGTGTACAGATGGGTATAATCGTCCTTCGCCAATTCAGAAATGTAGTGACAATTTAGTCAGAAGAGATCAAAACCTGGTGGACAAAACATCTCAAATTCGACTAGAACATAATAAATTCCTATTTGTATTCAGAAACTAGAGCGTCATCATCCTGGTTTAATTCGACCTCTTTATGCCCGATTGCAACAATCCGCCGCTAGATGTCAGTATGATAAAGGTTCTGAATTTGGAAGAGGACATTTAATGGCACAGTTCCTGCAGGAGAACAAAGAGCACAGTTTAAATGTCCATCTCAAAGTATGTTTCTTTTTATTGGTAAACTGGCAAAATGTAATTACACCTCAAAAGTAAGACGTCTCAAAAGTTTGAAGTGATGTTTGTACACTTTATGTTGACTCATCTAAAACAAAAGGATTTGTTATTATTAGACGTCCACAGCAACTGAAATAGTATTACAAAAATCAATTGTCCAGAGGGGTGGATGGTTAGATGGGTCAAATAAATACAGGACCAAGAGATCTGCAAAAATCAACGTAAATGTTGAAATCGTCAGTGTTTTTTGTTATTTTAGTCACGTGGCACATGTGAATCGCTACTTAGGTGAATTGTTTTTCAGTCTTTCCATTTTCTTTACTGCTCTTTTGACCCTGCAACCACAAAAAAGTACTTCAACCAACTGCTGAAAATTTCAGTTTCATTCGTGGTTTTCCCTTAGTTGCAAGCTGAATAAATGGAATATGTGAAGCAGTACCTCCATTAAATGCATACTTTTTAAAAATCTCTTAGATAATCTGTTAGATATTTTTCCCGCTCTTTTTTTCATTGAGAAATGATTTAATTGCAGGCAGAAGCAACAACTTATCAGAGTGACTAACGGTATTGCCCCAGCACCACCTGAGAAGTACAGTAATGGCTTCATAGTTTCACACTCACTATCCACCTGTAAGCATCGATGTACAGAAACGAGTGAGAGTGAGTGTTTTACGTCGGTGGAATAGACGGCGTTTGATGTGATGTCTGCTGATGAAGTGAGAACACGCAGGGAGGAGCCAACACCTTGTGTCTGCTCGGCCCACATCCAGCAGTGAATGTGACACAAATGGAATAACATAAAGGGCTGACATTTACGTGTGCACTTTGCTTTACACTGTGTGTGTGTGTGTGTGTGTGTGTGTTTGTGTTTGCCCTTTAAATCACCTGTGTGTTTATTTTGAGGACTCGTGTCACCCCTTTAAGGTCCCATCCCCAAGAAAAAAGACTTTGCAGAGGAATGTCGACGTTGCTCAAATCACTCTTTACACTTTACAGTCCAAACAAGCCTGTTTTTTGGAAACAGCGCAGGTGATTTATGCTTCTCAGTCTGCGCCTGACGCTCAGATAAGGCTGATACATTCTGCTCTTTTCCTATATTCATTTTCCGTTTTCAGCTCCCTGCAGTGTATCCGTTCATGTCGAACCACCAGTCGGCCGCGTCCCCGTATCCAAAGCCCGGTTCTTCTGCATTAGTTGCATTCATCCCTCTCTCTCTTTCACTCTCTGTTTCTCTATTATTGTCTCTCTCTCCCTCTCTCTCTCTCTCTCTCTCTCTCTCTCTCTCTCTCTCTCTCTCTCTCATTCTCTCGCCCTGACTTACCAAAAGGCATCTGATGTTTTTTTGATTGCCATTCTGTGTGACTTTCCCATATTGCCCGTGCTGCCTTCTGCTTTTATTTTAGCTCTTGTTCTTATTCTGACTCCCACTTTTCTAGGCTCAGATGCAGAGGCACATTATTGTTTTTAGTCTTAAATGTCTCCCCCCCGCTTCGTCTGTGTCTTTGTGAGAGTTGTTCACCCCACTAGACATTGCTGCATAACGCGGGTAAGCAGAGGAAGCAAAGTGGAAGTTCCCCCACAGTCTTTCCTCCCACATGAATATGGCGACCTCGCTCTTTTAAGCGTCCTAACCGCAAACCAGCCCGATATTACCCAGAGGCCTTTGCAGTGTCACCATACCAACATTATTGAGTCCGCACTCAGGGTTTCCAAAGCTATCTTCATATATATATTTATACTGAGCGCGCGCACGCACACACACACACATACACACACCGGCCCGCTGAACATCTTTCAGTCAGATTCTCAGGCTTAGTAGCTCCACTCCTTCTTATGTCTCACCTCTAATGTTTCTACTCTGACATTTTAAGTGAGTGGACTACTGAGTGAGTGGATTCCATCAATCATTTTCCCAGTTTCTTATGTTACACCAAACACCAGCAGAACAAATACTTAACAAACAGCATACGATACCATACTTCTGCAGCTAACCTCGCAAACTGACATGAGGGTGTGTAACAGAAATGATCTGGGTGTGTGTGTGCGTGAGCATTGGTTTGTGTGTATGTGTGCGTGTCTTTGTTGGTGTGTGTGAAGTTTTTTAGGGCCAGTCCAAACATCCAACTCTACCTGGCAGGAAAAACAGGAATAAGACTTGTCACGATTGCACAACGTTGCCGGGGATTCACACACGGCTGAAAAAAGATCTGGAGCTGCTCCCTAATCCGCAACCCGAAACCCAGAGGACTTGCTGCGCCACTTCGCTTCAACAAAAGCAACCTTGATTCCGGCCGAAAAACTACCTAATTACCTAAATCTATGGGGTTACTGCTTTTAATTTAAAGACTGTATACATCTCTGCACCATGTATGTACATTTATCAATACAAGCAGGGAAATTTAGTTTTTCCGACTCCAGGGTCTGTTCACTGTGTGGTGGGTTTTCATGTACATATGAGTGCGTAAAGTGCGCCTGTTGATTGATTGGGGCAGTTACTGACAGGATCTGCAGAAGAAGGGGCATGGGCTGTGGAACCAGACAGAGGAAGTCTCCGAAGCCACAAAGCTGCCTCAGTCCCCCCGTCCTGAGAACGAACAACAAGTTGGATGCAGTTCTTTGACCGCAGGGGGTTGATGTCTGAATAATACTGAACGCTGTGCATCCACCATATACAAACCCTAACCCTATATCAAGACTTCCTCAAACGGCTAACCACTTTCAACCTTTCATGATGGCCGTGTGCTTTTCAGCATGTACACAGTCTGCAGGCGTTTCGGACTGGTTCACACACCATCGCCTTCACTGGGGTGTTAATAGATCACTTTTTGCTTCACCTTTAAGCTAGTTTTACTAAAAGACTTGGCTGAAAGAGTAACAGGCTTTTGATAATAATCCAAAATGAATGCTATTATTATTTATTTTATATAGTGTTTAGTTATTATTCATTTGGTCCATTACAAGTGCAAAGTACAAGTAAATGGCTTTTTGTCAGAGGAGCACAATAGTAAAGGCTGGTGTTGAAATATGAGTCAAACAGAGATGTGATCTAGATGGGAGCAAACAATCAACTGACAGCAAGGTAAATAGATCTGAAGATGAAAAGATACAGTTTGGGGTCTCTTCAGGCTTTACACTTCTCAGTTTTGCTACCGCCTTCAGACAGCTTTGATTTTGTGCGTTTGCAGTGTGAATTTGTGTCGGTATGTGTGCGCAGCAGACAGATTAAAGGAGTTAGCGGGTGAAGGAGACTGCTCTGACATTTAGAGGCTTCAACGGGCTCCGGCGCCCACCTGCTCATAGACAGAGACGGGAGAGGAACAAACAACACTCACTACTAGTTGCAAACCGAGGCAACGCACTGAGGCAGTGCAGCGGGTTCTGTAACGTTACACGTTTTCATGACAAGACGGACCAAACAATGTATTTGGCCACACATTTGTTTCATTTTCATCTAAAATGAATTAAATGAAAGGACCCTGCATTTTGGATTCGGTGCTGATGAACAGGTGGCGCCTCCATCAGTGTGCGGACAGGTGAATGTTGACAAAGATCACAGCGCTAAACGTCCCTTTACTATTAACCTTCATTTCCATGATCGACGACAAGGACAAAATGGCCATATGAGGTTTCACATTCTGTTATTTCTATGATATAGTAGTAGTCTGAGTAAGTGTCATTAAGGTGAGCAGCAGAGATAATGTGGACTTGCTCTATTGGGAGTAAACTATCAGTGATACAAATGATTTTGAGTTAGTTGTGCAAAGCCACGGGGATAACATGCATTAGTTCTATTGGAGTTTACTGTTTCCTTGCAGATTATTGTCTAAGTCACAATCACAAGAAGAACGATTCAAATTGTGTGTCGCACAATAAAAGTGATTCATTACATGTCAGCATACAGTCAGCATCTTTGACAAAGACAATATTCCTGAGTTGCAGTTTTAAAATTCACAAAAAAGGCAAAGCAGTAAAACCACGTCTTTAATAGAGAGAAACCCATGCCTCAAAAATATACATTCTTCACAGCAATGTGTCTTCATGTTTATGTCATTGATGTTGAATCATCTAACTTCTGATTTAAGTCATGAGGGTTGACCAACGATTTTAAATTACTGTGCATCTTTTGATAAATAAAATCACATATTTTAGGACATAAAAATACACAACCTATGCGAATACCTGAGAGCCCTCATATCAGAAAAATGTGTTATCCATACCAGAGACAATAAATCAACACACGTTTCTGGATCATTTCAGTAATCAGTGCCAAAATACACTCCTTTCATATATTATTTCTTATAAAACACAATTCACCTGAACCCTGCCTTTACATGTTTGTAAACATTTTTAAACTTAAAAAACACACACAAAAGTTCACAATACTATATTTGCATTGACAATTCAGCAGAAAAATAGACACTTTGCACACACATTTTCAAAATGTACAAAAACAACCCGGGTCGAAAACAAGAGCAATGATTCTGATATTCAAGTAAACTCCTCGGCACACGGCCGGCCGACAGAAGACCATTTCTCTGACATTTTAAGTTCATATGGCTGCTTCATTTAATATTATGTAAGGCTGTCCTTGTTACATTACTACGAAAACAAGAAATATTTTTCATTTGAACATCCTGTTATGTACTATGCCCAGTTCCAAGTGTAATTAGTTCTAGTTGGTTTGTTGTTATTCTTCTGAAAAGGATTCAAGAAGTGAATCAGGTTAATATCTATTTACATTTGATCAGAAAGGATTATCAAAAAGGATATGTTAAGGCTTCATTTAATACAGGAATGTTATATTTATATTTAAGGAATATATAGACAGTCGTCATAAGAGCTGTGAGGTGTGAACAATTTCCAGGCCAATACTTTACAGACAGTAGAGGATCTTGTTCCAGCTGCGCAACAGTTGTGCATAATAGAAGCGGCATGTAAACAGAGAAAAAGCTGCCTTTTGATCACGAGTAGATATCAAACATACAAGAGTAAATCACTGAGATCAACCTTACAGAATAATCAGCTGTTTATAACGCTAGTGAGACACTAGCCGTATTGTTACAAAACGAAAAGGTACCGCAGACATCAGAGACACACTGCGCCGAGATAAAAGCCCAACACGTGCCCCGCCGAGGATCCAAACTTAAATGTAAAAAGAACAGAAACAAAAACAAGCACGTTGTTTTTTTTTGTCAGGACATGGACATAAAGTGGCAGGCCAACTGTGGAAAGCAAAGTCTTATCTGTGACACAGTACTGTAACTATGCAAGAGCGGCAGCCGGCTTTACCGATGGAAACACGTTATCCTTCAACAGACTGTACATGAACGAGGGATTTGGAGCTGGATAGTTGCTAATCTCTTCATCGCCCTTTACATTGTTCCTACGTGTGCTTTTCTATGTCACAGTGGGCTTACAGTGGAATGCTACGGTTTAGGGAGGTGCCTTCAAACTAAAACTATATGTTTAACCACACTCCCTTTTCCTCGTGGTGTCCCATCCTCAAAGCTCACTTCAAAAGGTTAGATATGAAGAAATCTGCAGAACAAAATCCCCATCATGCACATCGGGGATTTCTCTTTTTTTTCTCTTCTTAAGTCTGTTAAAAAGTCAATTTTAGGCATTTAGCGGAACACAAAGGTGCGGGAGGTAAAATGTCAAGGTGAAAAGGACAAAGCCCGTAGATGTTTCTCTGTCTTTGTCATGACATATTATGGAGTATGTAGGATGAAAGCTTTCATTGAATAAGAACCTTTAACCATCTAGAAATGGACATCCTGTATGAACCTACCCCCCAAACAACACAGTAATTATATATGCATACACAAAACCATCCAATAGCACAAATTGGATAAGAACAAAAGAATCTTTAAAATAAGTAAGTAATAAAAGTATCCTTAACCTCCTTCATCTCTTTGGTATCCATTGCCATAAAGCATCATTTGGAGTCATTAGATGCAAACGCTCCGTCAACGTGTAAGTCCGCTAGAACTAGGAATCCAACGGTGTTCTTAGACCGCAAGAAACACCAATAACCAGGATCCAATCCTTTTGTACATGAACTGTCAAGGAATCATAAATGGGCATCATTTGCGCGAAATATGCATTAGTATATCCTTCCTGTACTCCTTCCAAAGCTATTTAGCTTCATAGTCAATAAACCTTTAAATTAACTTACAATTAAACATTGTAGGTGCAAACTTTACCAAGGCGGATTATTTAGTCTAAATATAAACAAAGAAAGGAGTTTCTTGAGATAGATATAAGATTGTCATAAATATTTGTACATCTTTTATGTGAATATTTGATCATTTTATTCAAAGGAACTGTAAATGCATTTTATTTCAACTTTAATTGGAAATGCTTCCAGTGTTAGTGATCCTGCCCCCCCCCCATGTGTTTGAAAATGGTAGAATCTTCATGCAGGTTTGATTACATATGTTATTAAAAAATGAACTAGGACAATATTTTTTTTTTCTTCAAAATATTTTTCAACATACAAGTTAGACACAGGAAGTTGGTGGTCTTCTCTCTCTGTGGTAGTAGCGGTATGGAAGTGCTCTACCAGCCCCGGATACACGAAAAACATGGGGGGTGTAAGTAAGCAATCAGCAATTAATAATCTAAAACATAGATAGGATTTTGTGAGAGGTTAGGAGGCTAGTTAGCTGGTTCCACTAGCATTGGTGTCGAGCGTCATTAGTCTACTACTCGAGTCTAGCTAAGACAAAAAACAGCCCACTTCACTGCTGAATTTTGTAAAGGCTCTTAGGAGGTAGCTTTCTGTCATCAGCAGGCTATGTAACCTTTTGAGTGTTAACATTAGTTTTTGGGTGTCAAATTTTGGTTAAAACTCCATCAGCGTCATTTGCGTAATTTATGATATGCATATGTCTACGTATATGATCGTTTGTATTTGTGATTATTGACACATCCGAAACAGCCGTGTTAACCTTCTCTTCATTGTCTCACCGCCTCCAAGTTCTCCTAAAATACATTTACAGGACGGAATGAGAATGTGTCTCAACTATATCTTTCTTATCTATTATTTGGGCTCAATTGTAAAGTCTAAAGTAATTTGCATTTCCACAAACACCATAGTAATCTTTGCATGTTAAGCCTTTTAAAACTATGCAAATATACAAAGCAATACCGAACCACACTGATTCTGAAGATAAGGGCACGACTCTTGAACTGCAGCGAGATACAATCAGAGACAACTGGCAATCAAGACCGAATGGACATTGAGTTTCTAGCAACACACAGTACTACTGGACCATGACAATATGTGTACCAACATGTTTCAAAGCTAAAACAATACGGGGGCCATGGCAATAGAACAGAAAGATACTTGATGGATCCTGTGTGATAAGCCACAGTAGGTGGGCCAGTTCCATGCAATGCCGTTGTTATGTCCATGACAGAAATCATTCATTGTATTATTATCATTTAATTAAAATTATCTGAAGACTTTACCTCTGCCCGCGGATAAATATGACATTCGTATTTGTATGCACTATTTTTTTGTAACAAAAGCACGATGACATGACAAGCAAAACCGGAGACTAAAAAAAAAAAAACTAGCTCAAGCTGCTCTGTTAAACAATTCATAACATTTTGCAAGAAAAATAAATAAAACACACCTTCCTTCTGCTTTATTAATCTCAATTACACATGTAGAAATAATGTCTTTGGCCCGTACCTTCATATGATTGTTCACCTGCTCAGATTCACATAACTGGTTTAAAGAAGCATATGCTATGATTGTGCTACACTTTTCTACAGTGCCCTTCAACTGTGCAGTCTCAGATGCCTGAGGGTAAGGAGGGTTTTTGTCTTTCCCTAATATTCCTACCCATCCGTTTACTGGATGGTATGTTCACCACGAACTATGTGAGAGGAGAATTCATAGCTGTCTTTGCTGCGGTGACCGCAGATGTTGCACTCCAATGGATCTCTGTATCCGTGGCAACCCATGTGGATGGTGTACATGACATGGTCCAGGAAGAGCACCCGGCAGTGCTCGCACTGGTAGGCGCGCAACTCCTGGCCCTCTCGTCCAAACACCCGAACCCCGTCCTGGCTCGGAGGCCTGTCGGTGGGCGCTCGCATCATCCCAGTCCCCATTGCTGCCCCACTCCTGGGTGACACTTCTGTCGCTCGCTCACCTGAGTAGCTCACCGCCGGACTGGCTCGAGACCTGAGGCCGGGGGCGGGATTGCTCGCACGGTGCGCCCGCCCCTCATGAGGGCTGCTGCGGTCCGAGTCAGGAGAGCCGACCCCGCTGTTGTTGGGAGATTCTTCTTGCCCTGGATGGTGCAGCTTGCTTAAAGCAGTCGGCCCATTTGTGGCGGGCTGGCTGGTGAAGTCGTGCGGCTGAAGGCGCTGAGGTTTCAGCGCGTCACAGTTTCCGGGGTGATCTGTTCGTTGGCCCGATGGCAGGACGCGGTGGAAGAGGGGGTTCACCATGGGCCCCATTTCCGGCATGGAGAGAGGGGGACCCGGATGGTGGAGCATGGGCCGAAGAGTGTCCGATCCCAGGTACGTGATGGCATTGCTGATGGCCTGGTCCATCATGTGGGCCGACATCATTTCGGCCTGCTTCTCGTACTTAAGGCCCATCTCATAGCCTAGTTCAGGGTAGCCGTAGCGAACCATCTTTTCACCTGCATTAAATAGATCCGGCCATTATTACGGTGTGGAAAAGATGTTGCTCGCTAGGTTATTATCTTAAAATGACCTAGACCTATTTCCTAAAGAGAAATAATGTGCAAAAACACATAAACACGGCTTGACTTCCCTAAATTTGCTCATATTTCAGGACTTGTTTTTCATGTACAAATGTTATGAGGTGGAAAACCCCATCCATCTACTACCACACTGTTTAACCCTTCTAGAACAGGGATGCGGTGAGCTGTTTTCTCACGATAAGAGCAGTGACAAAGTTACAGGTGTACCTAACCACAGAGTGAAAAACATTTCCTTGCCTCATTCAACCACTTGCTCTAGCTTGCATGATCTCTTTTTTTAATAGTGCGGCGAATAAAACCAAATTCTGAGAGAAAAAATCAGCTCATAGAGCAAGGTTATTGCATGGTAGGATATAAAAGGTTATGATGCACGAGTGAACAGGAAATGAATAACTAACAAATACTATGCGTGAAAGGGAAATCAAGTGCATTATGTGATAATAATAAAACTAATGTTCCTCCTTAGACATATACATTTCTCTCATGTGATTTGCATTATAATCCACCTCTTTTCATAGAAAGAAAACGGAGGAGCTATAATGTGATAGAATAAAGAAAAAAAACTGCATCAGGGTGGTCGTCATGGATACTCATCACAAAGTGAAAAAAAAAAACGCCCTTGACTGGTGCTTTATTCCAATACCCACCCACAAATTTCTGAGGAGTGGTACTTTTCCTCTTGCCCACGTTGCTGTGCAGTCTTTCAATAACAGGTGGCCGATCGTAGGTAGCCATGGTGCTGGGCTCCGCCATAGGCCTCGAGTCTTTAGGGACCTCACCTTAGAGGAGAAGAGAAGTTTTTAAATTGTTTTTCATCACAGCCTGAAAATGTGGCCTCTGGTTACTCATCCACCAGGAAATGTAGTTTCTTTCACTATATTCTCTCAAAAGAGTAAAAACAATTACATTAATTCGCTAACGTAATTATCAATACCCCCTGAAATATATATAAATGTATGATAATAAAAAAAGAAAAAAAAGACAGAAAAGTAAACATTTAGTCGATAATTAATAAATATCTAGATAACTTGACAACAATGAATTGTAGCAATGTGTGCTCGACATCTGCCTTTTTATAATTTCCAATCTTTTTTAAAGATTGGATGGTTCAGATGGATCAACAAATAAGAAATGATAATACAACTTTACACTTTATATGTTATTATCGAATCCTCCCGTGAGATCCACCTTTTCTGTATTGCTTCCATGGGCAGTTTAGGCCAGCTTAATTTTCATGGTTAAAATTTTAGTAAAACAATTTACCTGTGTAACGGCCAGCGTTGGCATTCAGATCCACGCCGATACCCTGCAGGTAACTATGGCAGCGCTCTTTATGTTCCTCCAGAGAAGTGCGCTGTTTGTAGCTCCGCCCACAGAAGTTGCACTTGTGCGGTTTGCCAACTAAAAGTGAGGACATTCAAGGGGAAGCATATTAATTTCATTCTCTGCTACAGACACGGGGAGTGGGAGGCGTCCGATGAGATAACGCAGTGTTTGGGCGGCGAACAGTAGTAAATACTGTGTCAGTAGTACAAACAAAGCAAGAGCAAGCCTCCGAGACCATGGATGTTCCACTACTAGCGTGAGGATTCCACACAACTGTTGCCAGACACACAGAATGGTTGTGGGCGAAAAAAGAGGCACCAAGACGTCTGCGTTTCAAAGCGCTTTGGTTTCTGAAACATACAACCAACTCCCACTGCTGAGTGATGAGATCATGTATCCCCTGGTGGTGGTAGGAAACTGACTCCAATGTTACTATGGAGGTGTAGTGTGATTCATTGTGCCATTTCAATTTGAACTGTTCCTTCCTACCTTGACAAGTGGAAAAGGCCGAATGGGCCGGCCGCCGGGGGGGTGTAGTGGTCTGTGCGCTGGTGCAAAGAGTGCGCACGTGTCACAGTGGAGGGGAAATTAGAAATGTAGATGTAAAGACAGACGTTCTGTGTCCTGTGTGTAGCACTAACATAATAACTAATAAACTAATAAAAAATAAAGATTGAACCATCGGGGCGAGGGAGGGGGAGGGGGGGGGGTGGGCACGTCAGCTTACCAAAGTGACCCCCCCCCACCACCGCAACGTAGTGAGACATTTGGTGAGACAATGGTGACAGCTTTTTACTAGAAGAAGATCCAGTGCTCTTGTCACTGCGAGAACAGAGAAACCAAACATGTTTCAGTTTGAGGCACACAGACAGTAGCCCACATACACAGGCAGGCGTACACACTTACACACACACACACACACACACACACACACATTTAGCTGTAGGTGATAGTTCACACGTGAACATAACTACTCTCTCTCCCACAGAAGATGTGCAGGGCTCTTTGCGTAAAATAGGTCTTAAAAGAAGACAAGTTAATATTCCTCCAGATGTAAATGTTACATTGTTTACAAAGAACTACTTCTTGATGGTGTGTGTGAGGGAAATAAAACCCACTGGTTACAGAATGACACGGCCGGTCATGGCCAATCTCGCATCAGCAGGCACTATTCTCTCTAATGAATCATGTGGAATGATAATAGGTTTTCTGCTGTATCAGTCATTCAGGACTCAGTGGTCTATGAATGACACTGTTTTCGGCAGAACTCTTCATTCATTGTCATTTCTTTTTTTTCTAAGTATGAGCGGATACAAAAGTTTCCATATTAGTAGCGCGTGGGGTGGGTGACGCAGGGTCATTGCAGTGATATTCATTCTGGCTAGTGAAGGAGTAGGCAGTAATGTATTCAATCAAGTATCGCTCCCATTTTCTTAGTAGCTGAAATCTACACACTCACTTGCTCAAACACACACAATATGGACTTCATTACTTTTTCATATTTATATAACCGCCCACACACAACCTTGCGCAGATGTTGGATGGACCTGAAGATTCACCTCACAGAGGCTAATCCTTTGCATGCAAATGGTCCACTCTGTGCACTCAGACCCACTTCACTGATTGCCTTGGTTGATAAAAGTGAACTCAAATTGAAATCTCCTCTCTTATAAAAATGTTACATTATTTGCCTCTCAAGCGATTATTGTATAACGATTCTACCGATGCACTTTCCCTTGACGGACAATGTTATTGTGCAACATTTAACCTCGCCTCAGGGAACGCAGCCAAATCAGACACCCCTTTATCTAAGCCCTCCTTCTCCTGTCCGGCTTTCAATCTTGTCTTTCATATTTTCATATTTTGTCAAATGTCTCTTAAAATACTGTATTCCCCACACTAGTCACAACTTGGCAAAATCAAATTCCTCATATTAACTTATACTATACTAGTACCGTAGTACTCTTTACAGTTATAAGGGGTTTCGGGTATGTGACAAAAACATTGAGCTGAACAATAATTGAAATGAAAGCAGGGACATGGTCATAGTTTATGGTGAAAGACAGGTGTGGAGCTGTAGATATTAGGAGACATGGATAAAAGTAGTGACAACTGGGACAAAGATTACAGAAATGCATGTACAAAAAAAGGACGCCAACTCTTAGTAGTGCACCCAAACACATGTTGCTTCTATCCTAAAAGACGGCAATGACAGCATTATCTGACCTTGATGGAGGTACAAAAGAGGGGAGAGCGTTTCCTCTCTGATAGGAAAGTGGGTTACAGTTGAGAGAGACTGCCGGCGCTCGCCATATGTTTCTCACCAGGCAGATAGTTTCCTCCTTAGCAAGTCAAGCAACTAAGGAACTGCATGTCCTTGGTACCTAACCACAAAGCACTGACAACACCGTCTCTCTAACGTGCTCATGATAATAATGAAGACATGTAAAAGAAACTTCCTTCCCAGCAGATATAAGAATCTCCAATAGTGGCTACTATGGCTACGAATGCGCTGTTAGTTATTGTATTAGGCTCTCAGACACACAGAGCTTACCAGCTGAGGAAGACTGGGGTGATTAAGCACAGGAAACACAGGCAAAATGCTCTCTCAATTCTAAACATTTTTTTCTTTCTTTCAGATATCTGGTGCATTTTTTTGTCTTCTGCATAACAGAAGTGGATGAGTAAAAAGAGAAGAGTGCGAGGAGGAGTCTTACCAGCATGAGTGCGCAAATGCCCGCTGAGGGCATCGCGCCGCCGGCAGGCGTAGCTGCAGAAGGGGCATTTGAAGGGTTTTTCGCCTGTATGCAGCTTGATGTGTCTTAGCAGGTTTCCCTTCTGGGTGAATGAGACGCCACACTGGTTACACTGGAACGGCCTGTCACCTGACAGCGGAGAGCACAGGAAGTCGGTACCGCACTTCGTGGAAGATGTCTTTTAGAAAGCATCAGCAACGCTGCAAGCTATTTTTCATATCTTTTTTTTTTTTTTTTACTTTGTCTATCTATCATTACTCTAAGTAGAATGAATTCAACATAACTAAAAAGTGAGTCGTGTCTCAACCCAACCACTTCTAGACATTTCAGATATATATATATATATATATATATATATATATACATATATATATATATATATATATATATATATTAGTTCACATTTTCTTCATTCCAAAGACATGCATCAAATGAAGTTGAATAAAACAGGAACTGATGCTTAAAGTACTTGAGTGCTCCAGAGTAATACATGTGGATACGTGCTTGTCAATCCATCTTGATAGTTTTGTGAACTTTATATTATGTGGAATGACACGGTTCAGATTTGACATTGAAACACAACCACTGTCTGCTGTTCTGTCCGCACAGCTTTTGATCTGCGGCGAGTTGGAAAAGAGAAATAGGATCCTAATGCTGTGACAACCGGATCTGTCGTGGCGTCAGTTGGAACAGGTTGTGGGGGATTCCAAGGATATTTTCCCTGATAATAGTTCCAAGTCTAAGCTATTGTCCTTCAACCAAGCCCAAAGAAAAAAAGAAGAAGCAGAAAGTACTCTTCACCCACGGTCGAGCCAAACAAATGGTGTGTGACTCACGCTTAAAGTGGGCAAATGTACACCGCCCAGATTTTATCTCATTAAAAAAAGGGCAAATCCTCTGTGGATTGTCGATATCTAAAGATGTACAAGGCAGCTTCTTCGAATGGCATTTGTAAATGTAGCGAGAGTTACCGTGTGTTTGTTGACTTCCTAAATCAGACGTCACGTTGGGCTCAGATAATCCATCCTGCACGTCGCTCGGGCTGTCAGTCATGGATTCCTCCAATGTCACTCCTTCCTCTTCCGTCGGGCCTGCTGGGCTTCTCTTGTCCGTCTCCTCCGCTGTCTCTTCCTCCTGTTTAATTTTTAGCTCTGGAAAACATAACAGTGGCAATCCTGAGATGCAATATTTACAGTGTCAGATGCAGACACTGAATGTGTTCCAAAGCAACCATGAACCATTGAGTTGGAAAAGCACGAGCAGATTACACCGAAATCAGAGCGCGTGCTTGGAGTTGAGATTGGGAAGAGCGTCTTCTTTGGAAAGGGTTTAAAATGTGACGGTGTGACGCGACTGGTCGCTCAGATTGAACTGGTTCCGCTAGAGGCGTGATGATCTGCAACGCACGTGAGGTGACTTAACACGGGTATCTGTGTGAAATAACATATGACCAAGTGGGCAGGAAGTTGGCAACATAGAAACTCGAGTAGATCACATTAGGATGGACTGACACATCGACGAGAGAGAGAGAGGGAGAGGGAGAGAGAGAGGGAGAGGGAGAGGGAGAAACGAGTTGGTCTGGTTCCTGGCTGTCCTTGGGGAGAAAAGGGAGTGTCAGAGGCCCAGTAGCTTAAACACATGACGAGCAATGGGAGACTGACTGCAAGACAAGGGCAAACTATTGTATGATTGCGTGTGGGCGGCTGTGGAGAGACACTATTCACCGGATACAGTCTCTACTTATCACCAGCAGTTAGTAATGCCGGTTTGCAAAAATAATTATCCAGGAGATAGAACAACACACGCACAGCCACACCTGGACGCTCCAGGTGACTCCTGATCTGTTTCAAAAGATTCAAACAAACCATATTTATTATTAAGACCAGTGAAAACAAGTTGATAATAATAACGCTTGACTTAAAGCTGTGACAAAATCTTTCCAGTAACCGTACTCGGTGTGATTTGGAGTGTGTATCATTAGAGATACTCCGAAAATCAACTAAATGAACCTTGGGGTTTAGTCATACTGCGGAAACAAACGTTTTGGACATCATCCAAGCAAAACTTACTCATCCTGATGACCCTGTTTTGGGATTAACTGGAGCACATGACGATCGTTTGCCGAAGCCTCCCATCTGACTGCATTCATCAATGTTCTCCTCACACTTTACCTGCATTCCCCGTAACTCTCAGAGGCCAGTAAAAAAAGGAGATCTTCATTTACATTCACTTTTTTATTGGCAATAGAAATAGATCTCCACCAAGCGACGGCAATCTTGAAAGTTATCTTTTTCGATGGCTGATTTTGTACAGAACAAACACTTACTCAATTAATATTGAGCCATTCCTTTGACAGCTGTATCCTGGCAACACGGAGCAGAACTGAACGTCCTCGCTTTTCAGCTTCCTGTGTCTTTATATCTGTCTCTCATGGGCGGAGGGTCGAACGCATAGAGCGGTCAAATGAGGGTCCACTTGAAGGAGCAATGAAAAAAACAAAGGCCTTTTTTTAAACCTTCTTGTGGATGAAGTAAGTAAAGCCTGCAATTCAGCAGTTTTCCATAATCCATAAAAGAAATCCTGGAAAAGGTGTTGACTAAAGGCAACACATGATTAAAAAAAGGCATTATGTAATCTGGCCCAAATGGTGTAATTGTACTGTACAGATATTGGAAACTTAGACCTGTTTTTGAGCTTGGAAGGGAAGTTCGGCACTGAAATAAGAGTTTTGTGCTTATTTTCAGCATTTTATATTTAGGAACCCCTCTTTTGTAACAAAACCCCAAAGGACAAATTATGTTAGGAAACTTCCTTAATGACAAACGCTCCTATCAGTGAAGAATATCTCCCTGTGAAACTGTGGCTCCCTGTTTCTTTAAACTTGTGGGAAACGAGCTTCCCTTTTTCTCCCGCTGTTGCCTCGTCTCTCACGCAGTTTCCCCTTTTCTCTCTTCGCTGCTTCACAGTGACATGGCTGGTGCTAATCTGAGGCATCACATCAATAGAGTGAAAGGAAACCGGCAACACATTTCTGGGTAATGTGGTATTGCAAAATGTGACTTTTAGACGAACATACTTAAATGTTACGAAAACACCTGTACTGCTCTTTAAACCATACACAAAGGGACTACCCCTCTCCTGCAATCAAGCGTTAAAATGTAACTGAAGAAAAGTAGTTGCACCAGCGTTTACAGCCTGCCTAAAGATAAAATAAAAAATAAAATCCCTCTCCAGAGAAGTCTGCCGAGAAGTCTGCCATGAACTAGTGATTTTCAATTTGTCATTGGCATGCTAGTAGTAACAGAATAGTCAGATAGCAGCATACACGTGTCCTCCTTATCTTCTTCTTATTCACGCTTTCCTATCAAACCCCCACCTTCATATAGTATGAAACACAGATTAAAATGTAATTTCATACAACAACTCTCAGACTTTTTAGCTGAGCACTGTGAGGACAGTCAACAGACAACTACCATTGTAGCGGCAGGAGGCTACAGGTAACTCATCACTCATTGGTCAGTACTTTCCTTTGACTCCTTTCGTGCACAGTGTCCACTGCAGGCGTCACAATCTAGTGAGAGCATCACGCACATCCAGTCCTGTTTGAGTGTGTCGCCTCTTTCGATGCGCGGTGTTCACTGCAGTTGTCGTCATTCAAAGAGCCTAAACCACGAACTTCCCGTAACCAAGATGTGGCCCCCCCGGGGACGTACATCTACGTTCTGATAGCTTTCAGGTCAAGGCCATAGTGTGAGTCTGGAATAGAACATACCAGAAGGCTGAGAGGAAGAAGAACTTCTTCTGTCTTTTTTGCAGCAAAGGACCAAGGACTCAGCCTCGCTACGTGGGCCCGCGCCTCGCCCGCTCTACACCGAGTTCTGGGCCTGTGAAGATGGACTGACCCAGCGGCTTCATCTCAAGAGCTGCTGTCCGATCACCGCCCGGCAAAGAAGTCCAATAGCGGTGGAAAGGGGCGTGATGGCGCAAATGGTGGAGTGAAGAACGGTAACAACTCAAATTCCGCCATTGAATAACCCAGCAGCAGTAATAACCTGATCCCTGGCCACACTGATTCGCTAAGCAGCGTCCCAGCGTCCCGGGAGTGAGTAACTAAACAATAGCACCCTGAAATAAATAAATAAATACAGTGCTAGAAAAATATATATATACATTTTTATTTTATTTAATTATTTATATTTATTGTCTTTTTCAAGCACAAGTTTTTCAGGTTCTGTCTTCAACAAGGAACCAACTCGTTCAACACTACTGTGGTACTTAAGTAGAGAGTTACCCACAACTTCTTCCGTGATCTATTGAGCAAGATTGAAGCAACGACAATTACTACTACACGACAAAATAACTGCAAGGCAATTACAACCATCAGTATTCAGGTTTGATTGATTTCCAGGCTGCTCGCCAAAGCCAGCCAGGAGAAATTGAAGAGAGTGGGATCGGTCAAAAGATCAAGCTTTCATCTTCTCCTAAAACCCTAAAACTTTCACCTGCCCAACAATGGTCACGGCTACCATTGGAAAGAATAGCTTTAGCTTACCATCCCTGGAACCTATAGAAGTGTCAAACCAATGTGGTATTTGTTGCCTCCTTTCATGCCATGTTTACCTCTACAGCAAAGCCCTCAAGGAAGTCGGCATCGGTACAGTGACCATTGAGAGATTCATCTTCATCAATAACAGGACGATTGCCACTCACTGGAGGGCAACAGAATACAAGGTCCAGGACCGGCTTCCCTGCTGTGATAACTTTCCACTATCCACACAGTTTTGTCCTTAGAGAAATGCACAGGCAGTCCTAATAATAAGGGGTCAGGCCAACAATACAAGTACACATTTAAACCCATTCATTGTTTTCTGATTATATTATGAATAGCAATTGATTTGACAGCCTTTGTGTATTTGCTCAAATGAGAAAAAGAGTGTGTACACTGCAGTTGTTCTTGCCAGACAGCAGACATGTCTATCTACGGATTGAGCACTCACCACTGCGGGAATTAGGAACCTGAGGTATTGTCTGTCCATTGGGTGTTGAAGCATCTGCCCACATTCTTGAGTTCTCCTTTCCAGGAGAGCATTGGCCGTTACCTGGGAGACAAGCAGAACATAGAAACACAGCAATCTAAAATGTGCTGTACAATACTATAGCTGGCAGTTGTGTAAAAATAAAACCTTTGCGTTTCTATGATAGAAGATATGCAACTATGTAATGGTTTGGGTTTTTAAGAAAAGAAGAGGACAACAATGAAAATAAAATATGTTCGAGCAAAAAAAGAGTTTCTATAAATACAAAACAACATCCTGGTGCATTCACCTAAATATGAGTAAAAAGTATATAAAAAACCCCACACATTGTGAATACCATACAATAGCTTTTTGTGGGGAGATTCCATCCCAGAATGAAAATTATGAATTGCATCCTGCAAAGCCTAACCTGAAAAGCCACTACGGAGGTCACCGTGCAGAATGCACAAGGCAACTGACTAAAATGTCCATATGTACCTATGGGATCCTAATGTCCAGCAAATGTGGATCAGATTGCATCCTCTCAGCAGGCTGTACAGAGCCCGGGCTATGGATAGCCCTGTGTCCTGTGTCCCGTGTGGTACGAGGGAGCAAAGCAATCTCTTATCCCCTTACAGCCCGGGCCTGCCAGGGTCACTATAACAATGCAGTGGCAACAGGCAAACACCCCTGCTGACCCAGCTGACAGATCCCTTAGGAACCAGAGTGAGCCTTCATTTACCACCAGCAAAATCAATAGATTTCCCCAAGCATATTGAAAACGTGGGAACTATCCATGGTAGTGCCATCAGACGGCCTCCTGTTATTTTAATTGATGCAGCAATAGCCGGGCAGAGGGAGGTATTATTCAAAATCAACGGGTGCTAACATGCTTGCAATAATCCCTTAGATCTGTGTCGGATCTTCCTTCGTGTCAGCTCCTCTCAGTTTGACCACCTCCTCTATGGTACTGTCCTACTGCAGTGGCAGCCCCACTGTGTGGGTCATACTGGGAGACGTTGTCCACGACGCGATCCCTGGGTCTGGGATCGGGTTGCACAGGTTGGGGTTTGAGGAAATCTCAGGTAACCGGCATTGCTTCTCCCGTGGCCTGGAGACAGGAGTGGCCCAGATTTGTCATGAAGGATTTTCCATTACTGTAAAAGATGCTGACCACGGCCTGGCAGCACGGTGGCTACGTGGTCACTAGCCAAAGCTTTTTGCATTGGGCTGCCTGGTTGCAAACGCTGAAATAAGAACCCTCCATTAAACATTTGAAAAGTCCAATGTGTAATATCTGGCCACATGCTCCGAATAATCGGGGGGGGGGGGGAGGGTATAACGACACAGTATGGAACCGGGGCTAGCTGGCTATCACGCTTATTTTACAAAATATCTTTGCAACACAATTCAGAAATGCCTTTTGAGATAACATGAACTCTAAAGGCTCCTTTAATTGGGGTTATAAGAAATAACGATTCTTACACATTGCATTTTTTAAAAGAATGAACAATCATAAACATTCATTCACATTCACATTCATTATTGAGAAATCTACCAAATAAATGATGTTTATGATCAATGCTGTTAATATGGTGCCTGTAAAATGAATTAACAATAAGATGAAAGAAGGACATTCTTCATTAAAGGTCAGGTGTCCTGGTCAATCAAAGGAAGAAGACACACATATATTAAGTCTGTCTGTTGCTTACAATGGTCATTGTAATGCCGGTTCAAGTGAGGACCTCAGACCTTTAATGTTTAATGCGCCGGGTTTTCGCTAAACCAAATCCTGTAGGAAAAGTAAGATGAGGATATCAATCACTCGGGACTTGCCAAGAAGAAATGTACTTTTGAGTATACACAACAAATGGGGATCGCTTTACCATGGCGGCAGATAGATGCAACACATGCACACACATGCAGCTTATTAGTGTAGTAATTGCAGTGTAGTAATTGCCGACTTCATCTGGTATGTGGTTGATGGCAGAAATGAATACAATTCATCAGAATTGGCTCATAATGTCTAACTGTGTAAGTGAAAAGAACTAAGACATTGCTTTCCAAAGTGACGGGGCGTTCCATTCCTGCTTCCTGCCTACATAGTGTATCAGAGCAGGTTTTTCCTGTCAAACCCTGAACCCTCTTGAAGACAAAGATTCAGACCAATTAGACACGAGCGCACAAACAGACAGACACAAACACACACACATAACTGCATTGATTGCATTTATGTACCGGTATGTGGTGGTGACTCAGGGGAGCGAGAAACTCGATACATCTGCAGATGACTTATATTAAACTATATGCAGTGTGGGTCCCAAGAATTAAGAGAAGAAAAAAAAGAGTTCATTTTAAATTGTAGAACTTTTTAAATTTACCTTAATGTACCGAGGGTCATCGCAACAAACAATCTCTCACGTGTACACTGCGCAGCCTGCAACCCCCCTTGTATCCACAATACCGTCTCACTCACGACTGTTGATTGATCCTCACATTGTTAATAATGCCGTCTTAATCCGTCGACTGAAATACCAACAGTCTGAAGCGCATTTTAATAAGACGGATCTAAATGTTAATAAATGACAGCGTTAATGTCATTTGTTCAAGTGTCAATGTCGAGTTCTTGGCTGCTGACGAGGTCGTTGTCTTCAGGTGAACCATTTAGGTTTAGTCAAAGATGGTTTGAAAGATTGGTACGGAGACTATTCCTTTACTGTTGAGGATTTTATTACCTAAAACAGATTAGAAAGTGAGGTAGGTCCTACAGGTCATTTCAAAGTATATGGGTACATGTTTAGGTTTAGATAGAAGGAAACTAAAGATTGTCTTCTCTGTTTAACGTAAATGATCAACAACAGGAAGTTTATTCAGACAAATTGGACTGGTCCGATATATCGTTAAAGGCTTTCAATTTAACAGCTGGGAAATGGGACCTCTATGATTCAGGGGGCTAAAGTAGGTTGTTCTTAAGTCAGATTGTCAGACTAACATTAAATAATAAAATAGGTGTAAAGTAATATTTAGCACTGACCAAGTGGACATTTCTATACATCCTTCTAGTGTGCCACTACATGCAAACACACACCCGATCACAAACACATCTGTACATTCATGTTGGAGCCATTTGAACTATGGCGCACACTCAGCCCACTTACACTAATGCCAGTTTGGGGTTCAGACTCTTTCCCGAGGGTGCTTTTAGTCCAAGGTTTGTCAGCCATTGAAGCCACAAGAGTTGCCAGTTGTTTACAATGTTCTCACGTCAGGCTGCAATGTGTCACACTAGCAGTCACATGTACTGTTCTTCTTGCTTACATACAGACAACACCAGCGTGTATGTGAATATGCATGTTTAGTGTAGCGAGGTACAGTGTAATGTTGAGGAGAGAATAGCAGTGTACATGCAAGACGAAGACGCGTTGTGTCCCAGCACTGTCCGCACACAGTGCCTTGCTAATGAAAAGGGATGCAAACTGCTGCCTTCCACAAAACAGTGTATTTTCCTCAGTTTTGTACTAGCAGAAAATGCTATAATTTGTTCCAAGCGTATCATTTGAGAAGCAAGCCACGGACCGAGGACAGATACACAGGAAGAGCCTCCAATTCTGGCACCAACCGTACTCCACCTGCCAAGTGTGCTCGTAAGCACAAACCCCCCAATGCAGACCTAAAATCCTTGCCGATAAAAAAAAAAAACAGGTGGCATGTTGTTTGTCTCACACAAAAGCACAACGACAAGGGGGCTGGGAAGAGATAAAGAGATGTATAGCAGAGACCTGCCCAAAGGAAACCAGAAAAATGCAAATGGGCACCACAACGTGCGCATCCCGTATCTGCTGCATTCAACAGGATGTTGGTAATGCATCGTTTTCTCTACATTTAAGGGGTGAACAGGAAAAAGCTGCACTCGGGGGAAAATCCCTTGAAATGTTTATGGTGAGGTGACTGCCACAAATGCTGTTATTCCTTTTGTTACAGCATTGTCTCAAACAGCTCAAAGAGATTAAAAGGAGTGCAACAAACACACTCAAACATACCCATGTAGGAAGTTTAGTGTTAATAAAGGCAAGGGTACATTGGAGGTATAATCTTAGCAATGGGATGACTTACTAGCACAGAAACCACGGGGAGCCTCCATTTTCCAGTGCTTCAGGAGTACTGCAGGACATAAAAGAAAAACAACGCCGACAATTACATTTCTGTCAAGTAGAGGTTGTTTTGTTTTTTTGCATACTGCGTATATTCGTTATCCTAATTCTTAATTTTTCAAACTAAATGTGGGTATCTCGAAAGCTGTGCGGCCAGAACTTTGTGTCATTATAATTGCATGCAATAATGATATGCAAATTCAGCTTTAAACATGAAAGTACTCACACAGATACCATGACAATGTAGATGTTTAAAATCCTAATAACACCCACATTCTCACCTGTTAATCAGCTTCATATGAGTGGTTCCCGGTACGCAGAGGTCTATTACAACAGAGAGTATGGTCTGTGCAGTAATCATATTAGACAAGTAGTCAAATATATTTTGGAAGCTACCCCATATTTCAAATTTAGGAACAGCAACATTTTTGTTTCATGTTCTTTGTCGAAAATAACGATTTTGACGTAATACTAAAGTAGGCATTGTTGACCCATTTTCTGCGTTTTACAGAATAATGTATAAAGTATGAACCCCAACTTGGAAATAAATAGAATATTGATTATTTAAGTTGTTTTTTCTTCCAATTCAAAGCAGAAGAGGAATAAATATGAATGCCCCTGACTACAGTTATTTGTAAGCTACACCGACAAGACCAGGCAACACAATATAAATAACATTGCTTGCATTTGATAATAGATTGTGTTCACAGGCTATTTTGAGGAAGTTGTCAGTTCATTCAAATTTTTCTGAATTTCCAATTAAAGTTTAGGCCCATCTGTATCATTGTACCCATTGTGATTGTTGTGTAGAATATGTGTTAAGCGAAACACGTATAAAGTAAATGTATGAGCATTATTTGGAATAGCATTGGATCAGCGCTAATTGTAGTAAAGCTCACTGATTACACTACAAATACAGAGTCGGATCACACAAGTAAGTTGTAGTGTGCTACAATACAACTGCTGGCTTCCTTAAAGAACAGAGTTGAGCCTTTCATTGAAAGCATAAACACATCCAAAGGGGTCATTGCGGATTTTCTTTTGACCCGTCGGCCCGATGCAGGATGGTCTACATCGCTCAGCTTTAATGGATGTGACTACTTTCTAATTACAGTCTACTGAATAACAACGATGATTTTAATCTAACCAGCCAGAAAAACTTTTTCATTTCTCCCGCTGTATCGACATGGAGGGAAACTTTGGAAAGTTGGAAAAGCCTGTTGTTACATTGATATATCCCTTAAGCTTCAAGTAGAAGTGTGTACCAGAAAGCAAAAAAGCAACAAGTAGCCTGCATCATATTCAACCCAAACAGTGAATTCATATAATTACCTTCAAACGTGTCCCCTGTGCACAGTGAGTTGGTGATTTCAGTGAAGGACGAGGGGGGGCTGGCGGGATGTCTCCACCTTCCTTTTAATGCAACAAAAAAACAAAAACAAAAAAAACAAGCCTCAATGAGCTACTTCGTCCGGTGGTTCGCTCGTTCCAATAATCGGAGTATATTCAGAGGAGCGCAGGTAAAGAGGAGCGCATCTCCGGTCTCCCTACACGGCGTCCTGTTGCGTCCCGTCGAGTTCTCCACCTGCAGCGGCACCGCCTCATCGAGCCCTACACCTGCATGATCCCGACTAACGACATGTCCTCGGAAGTCCAACGCTACACCTCGCTTTTCTTTTTTTCTCTCTACAGTAGGAACACCGAGGGGGGGGGGGGGGACTCAACAAGTTTGCTGAAGGGAAACACAGAGAGAGGGATGGATCAAACTGGATCCACCGGTTCCTGAGGAATTAGACCACAGCGGCGGGGAGCAGCCGGGCTATTTTCGGCGCGGCAGGAACTGGAAAAATCCGTGTGATGGAGTTTCAATGGGAACGGCGACACGTTCTTACCTCCACAGGGGAGCCACGCAACACGACGATGTGACAGCGCATTCAAAAAAAGGAAAAAAGGACCCCCCCCCCCCCCACACACACACACACACATCCTCCCCCTTCTCGCATTATAATGGACACTACTTCCTCGTATGTGCGTCCCCGTTAACGCCGGTGTCACGGGTTAAAACGCGCGTAAGTGTTTGTGTTTACCTGCCACGAACACATTCCATCACCGGAAACCACCGCCGGCTTTTTCTTGTCATCTTCTCGTGTCAGTTTACGGGATTTCGGTCAGTGTCGGCCGCGTGGCTCGTGGGGGAGGAAGGGGGAGGAGGGGGGGGGGGGGGGGGGGTGCTGACTGACAGCCCGAAATTCAACAGGTTATCCGATCGGTGGCTTCCCGTTCATTCATCCGACAGGCGCTCCATGTCTGCCTTTGCCGCAGACCCCCCCGGGAGCGTCTCTATAACGTAACGCACGTAATAATAGGAATAATACAATGAAAGGCCAGGCAGACACAATCGATGCTTAACAGCCTTTCTCTCTTTTTTGTTGTTGTTGATTTACCTTAAACCCGCAGGGGCGTATTTAATCCCGTGAGTTTGCACAGTGGTCCCGGGTGAGAAGGCGTCATTGTAGCGGCGGGGGGCTGTGAGGTAGTTTGGGTTCCGCAGCGAAAGCAACAGTTGCTGAATCCCCTGACTTCCTCCTCCGTCTCCGGCGGCTCACGAAACCCGCCCGAGACGATGCACCGAGAAACGGATCACACGGTGCGGTCCGCCCGCTCCACGATCGATTAGGGTGCAAAGGGAGGGGGGACCTCTTGTTTCGGGCTTATATTCCTGCCATTGTCGTTAGGTTATTACTCATTACAGTGCACTCGGGGAAGGGGGCGGGGGGGGCTTTGGTCTTTGTTATTGCAAATCCTGCAGCAATTTCCGAGGGAATATTCGTTTTAAGTAAATGAATTATGAGGTAGTTCAGTCAACTTCTGACATCTCTATGAAGATGGGCATGGCACACATAGCATTGATTTAAAACAAGTAACCAGACGCATAATCCACTGGGTGTTATCCATAGACAATAGATATGCAAGAATAATACTAAGAATATTCAGTTATTAAATAAGGATTACATTTTAGTTCAGGGGTGTGACACTCACGGCCTCAGAGCCACAACCAAGGGAGAGTTTTAATGCTCATAAAAAAGTCAATAATAGAGTCTAAACATGTTTTGTCTGATATGAATGCATACCAAGTATGTTTGTGAAGGATCCTTTCTCATGACAAATTATAACCGTGAAAACAATTTATGTTATGGAGGAAAAGGCTAATATTGGCAGATAATAACCGTTGGATGATGTCAATGTTTATCAGCAGTCTGGTGTGTGATACATTTTGGAAAAGAAGTTGCAGTAGTGATGGAGGTGGTCTGGGAGGAAAGTGTCCTAACAAAACTAACTTCATTTTGTTGCAAGTCTGCTTTTTTTAGTGTACCTCATTTTTAAAGCAGTTCTGACATAAAAGAAAATTAAAAAAATAAAACTGATATTATCTGACAATCTCCTCAAAGTTAATCATGCTGCTGTGAATCATTATTCAAGGGATTAAGTCAATATGTGTATCCAACCACATGCCGGCTATTGAAATAAAATCTGCGCTGAATATCAAAAGATTATCTTACAAGCAGCAATCATGCGAGTCAGTTACATACGTATGTGATCTACTACAAATGTTTGTGGCGATGTATGAGACAGCTTAATGCCGACCGCAGTGGCCAATGAGTACCGGGCCAACAGGCTCAAGATTGTGTTGGACAACCGAGTGCTATTAGATACTACACACCCCTTTTTTGTTCAATTGAATCAGATGCAATTCCTGTACAGTTGCTATAGGGTCTGTTTAAGTCCGAAGGGCTGATTCAGGACAACAAAATGCTCACTCTTAGGTAAAAATATAAATATGTGCTCTATAAGTCTCATCCTACACAATCACCCTTAAAACTAAGTTCAGCGTATTTGTATTCTCTCTCTCTCTCCCTTTTTTTACTTGAATCCGATCTTTCCTTTTATTCAAATGAAACCACGTGAGCACTGTATAACGATAAGAGAGGCCCTGTTTACATGGGGTTTTTGGTAAAAGGTCACAAGAAGAAAAGGTTATAAACAGTACCAATTCATAAGTCTATTCGTAAGAACCGTGTTTAGAAAAATGACATGATCTTTCACTCTCTGGTGGGATGTTTTTTGATCTCGCTCTTCTATGTGTGTTTGAAAGGTAAATGTTCACGCATATTGATGACCTATTAACACCTATAACAATATTTTCTACTCCATCGTTTGGCTTGTTTTGCACTTTCTCGCTGATTTAAGGTTGTGAACGCATATCATTTTAAATTCCCTTAAATTTGGCCCTACTGTTTAAGTGTCTATTGTTCTGTTGACATGAAGCGTCCAAGAGCACTGCTCGCAAAATGTCATAACACTGCAAAAAAGGTCACATTCATTAAATTAACTAATACAACTCTAACAATGAATAAATACAAGACGTATAATGTCCTCTTGCAATTTCATCCTGCAGTTTTAGTTTTTTAAAAGTGAACTTTCCTATTAAATTATCCATTCAGAGGATCAAGGATATCAACAATATTCAAAGCCATTCCAGGTCAAAAGTTTTTTTTTCAAATATTAACAAATCATTTTGGTGGAAACCTCTAATCATTGTTTCCATCACTGATTTTTTACAGTGTTCTATGTTGTGAACTACAGTGGTGCTGAACATCTTTAACATTGTGACAGATTACCATTACTTTACTGCAGCTCCCTCCTAAGGTAACAAAAGGGACAGCAGGCATGGTTATTTTGCAAAGATGAAGAGAAGTGCCAACATCTTCTGATATGATGATTTAAAGTGATCTCAAATTGGTTTACTGTCTGTCATTTTCTGATTTATTTAGTCTGTTATACTATAAGAAACTCCTTCCACCATTGAGCTATTTTGATCTCCTTTATGCAACGTCGACCAAATGACATTGATCTACCACAGTGGCTGATTGGTCCCCCTGGAGTCCATGTCCCGAATGCTTTAAACCTTGGTAAAGGTGCAGTAAAGTGGACAGACTTCATACTGTTGATTGGCTGTGTGTGTGAGTGTGTGTGCGTGTGTCTGCGTTTGACAGCTCGCACTGCCCCCTGCTGTTAGAGGTCAACGGGGCGGCGAGCCTGTTGCTTCACTGGTAAACAGAAAGTGTGAAACTCATTTATTGTTGGATGACCTTATGTTTCTCCGGGGGGTTAGGGTCCTCACACCTTTCGCATTGCGTTTATCGGATGTTGTTCTATTTCAAGGATGTTTGTCAGATTTGTTGATATGTTCATCATATATTTTTTTTATTTGTGATATTGAATATTTGGCTTTAAAGGCTGTTTCTGAATACATAATATATAATATCAGTATTTTTTTAACAGTATAGCACATAGATAGATCTTACTTTTTAAATTATGAAATCAAATCAATTGACTTCATTGTGTTTTCCTCCAAACCGAATGACGCAGAGGCTCATGGGTATTGTAGTCCATCGTCATATCATTTCACAGCTTTAAAGGAAAACGTTTCAGACCTGTCCAAGTCCCTTTCTGGTTGCCGTGTTTCTACTGGACACGTTCAATGGGCAGCTAAGAGGAAGCAAACATAAACAGAAGCCGTTGCCTAGCAACGCAATTCTGCTGGAACAAGCCATTAACAGAGCGTTTCAGAGCACTGGCACACGTTTTTATGTTTAATCCTGTTAACCTCTTCTAGAAACCCCAAATATGAGTAATAACCTGACCATGAACACAATGGGTCTCTTTTATGGAAAATGTTTGTTGACAGGTCACCCATTCTTGTGCGATTACTGAGATCCACCAACTAATATCCTCCTTTTGTCTTTTTTTTTCTGAAATGTTTATTCTTAAAACAAAAACAATAGAATACTCACATTGCATCCTGATAATTGTATTAATGCTTTTCTTCGCGCATCACAGACAACAACATAACATAACAAAAACGTTTAGCATCCAGAACGTAAAGTTGCATCATCGAACTTTCACTTTGTGTTGTTTCCCTGTGTACCAAAGTTTGTCCCGGTGGCGACCCGGGTCTCCAGAGAGAGTAAGCTCTGCTCCTAGAGGAAGAGGAGTAGGGGGAGGCTCAATGACGCTGGGTCTGCTGGAGGCAAACACCAGACCCAACGATGCAGACGAGCTGAAGGCCACTATCAAAGCAACCTGGGCTTCCATAACACCTGCGCAGTGCCACAGGCTGATGGCCTCCATGCCATGTTGCATTGATGCAGTGATTCAAGCAAAAGTAGTGCAAACTCTATACTGTACATGGACATAATTTGCAGTGGCACAACATTTCTGCTTAAAAAAACTAAATTAGGATACTTAATTAGGCTATGTAATACATTAGCCTGTAAGCTCTAATCATCAAAATTAAAAAAATAAATGCTTCAAATATATCACTTTGTGTGTATAACATTTTCTCTCCGATGGTCTCGTTTACAGAATATCAGGACTGAACTCCTCTGCCTTTCATTCCATCAACACAACTTGAGATCAACGTTAAACATAATTCCAAGTTCAGATCTCATCTCTGATTGAGGAACTGGCTCCACATGGCTGTCGACATGGCAACAGCTGAGCAGGCTGCTGGAAGATAACTGTGTGTTAAGTGTTTAGTCCTTTGTAAGGATGCTGTACAGTCGATTACTTGCACACACTCTGACGTTACAAAAAGCCGAGGAGCCGAGACTCTTTAAATACCAAAGAGTTGCTTGCTGCTGAATTAATGCTCTGATTTTTGAATTTATTGGCATTTAACTTTTTGTTTAGCAGCGTGGAGTTTTTTTAATTGGCAATTCAGCCATTTTCCCTTGGTCTACGATGATGGTACACAGACAGAACCATGCTGGAAATATAACTATGTCTAAAGCAATGTTCCTTTGCCAAAATGAATTTTT